TCACTTACGGACGGCAATGGTTTTCCGTCCGATTTAGTGTTTGTTATAGGAACTTCTACCACGGGTTCTTGGTTGAAAATGCTGAAAAATCAATGTTGACATGTTCAGTAGCTTTTATTGCTCTCTGGAAGATTTTAATCCATAAAACGGTTGTTGTAATGATTTGTGCATAGTGGACAAAGATTGACATGTTCTCATTTTCGTTTGGCATGGCGATTAAGTTTCAAATTTGACATTGTATGAAATTATGTGACTAAGTTTAGAAAAACTGAACATCATTAGTTGAAGAACATGGTTCGGAGCTTAGATGGTCTTTTAGCTATGTTTTAGGGTTCAATTGAAGCACTATGAAGCTACTGTATTGTCATTTTACGTAATATAACCAGGCAACTAACGCTTCTTTTTGTTTGATTTATATTCACATATTTTGGTGGGTGAAGCTTTTGGTTATGTGAGTTTTGTGTTACGTAATTTTAAACTGATCTACTGTAGGTATCTCTCGAAGTTATGGACTTATGGTTTTGTACTAATTCGTTTAGATGGAGATTTGTGATCTTGATTGGCAGTGTGACTATTTCAATACTAATAAATAATAATATCTTGGGAAGTTCTTGGTAATGATCAATATTGGGTCCCTCAATGAGCTGATCGCGATTCCTCCCAGATTTTATGATATGCATTTTTATGTATGTAACAAGCGATATGCTTATCTGTCATCTGTTTTCTCACGAGTCTTATTATTCTTGGGTGCTTGAGTCTTGGTCCACGTCTTGCGATGGATATTTATGTGCTGGGCCAGTACTTACGCGTTTGCACCAAAAAAAAAGGCTACTTGATATTGAATACACTCATAAGTCATAAATTGGCATTATGTTTTGAATATTTTTTGTTTTTGCAGAGAAAGCTGATATTGAAGTATGCCCACAAGTACCGCCTTGGGTTGTGGAGGCCTAGAGCCGAGCCGTTAAAAGCTAGATGAGCAATTTTCACGTGTGGTGAGCGAGATTCGATTGGGAAGTGGACTAGAAGCTCCGATTTGTAGAATTGTCCATGAAAGTGTTCATCTTTTTACAAGTGGGCACACCAAGGATTGGATTTGGTTCTTTGTTGCGATCTCGTCCTTGTGTCATTTCTGAATGATCAATAATTCCAGAAGGCTGTAACTTTTTCGAACATCCTCTTTTTGCTATACTTGGTCCCTAATGCATACTCGCGCTTCATTGGTCTTATTAGTGGATATTAGCAATTCTGACAGTCCTGATATTAGTTATTTTCAGTCATGATTTACCAATCTTGAATTAGAAAAGACCTTTTCGAGTTTACTGACAGTTCACAACGAAAGAAATTATGTATGAAGTCTTCAAATTATTTCTGAAAATAAAAGTCAACTGTGTTCCCTATCCTGAAGCCATGGGCTTTATAAATCTGATAAGCCTTTTCATTCTTCGGGAGATCGAATATTTTTTGGATCCATTGATAACAGGAAATCCATATTCAGCTTAAAGAAACTTTTGGATCCCAAGGTTGAAAGGAATGTGCATGAAGTTAGTTAAACAATACAACGATTCAAAAGATGTAACATATTACATGTTTTACATTCTCAGGACGCTTGCCTGGGTTTCCCAAAGGTGCCCAAAGTCTTACTCATGAATCAAATTTACAACAAGTATACAAGAAAATAGAAGATTCGTGCCTAGGCAATGATCAGTTAACACCTACTGATACACAAAGTAGTAAATCGAGAAATTAGTTCCATGTGGAGTCTCTTCTCGTGCTATCCTTCTCATAATTGGTAAGCGTTGAATTAATAAGCTGCAAAAGATCCGAGAGAAAGTCTATGAAAAACACATTCTGTAAATGAAATATGCATGTCAAAGACTTCCCGCAAATACAACTCAAAAGGTCATGCCATGTCTATGATTTGTCTAGAGAATTTTGTTGATTAAAATGCAGACCATGTCTCTCTCTGGAAGTGAACATTATAAAGTTTAGGGAGAAAATTCAGGATTTTTACTTGAAAAGTCAGCTGAGCACATCAAATTCGTGAACCAAGAATGCCTGGAAATGCAACACCATAGGTCACATTATGCTGTAATATCATTATAAACCTGGAGTACTAAAAGAAGAAATAAGTACATTAGCTTGCTGCAAGCATAAGACGTTCTCGGTAGTACTAAAACATCTATAGTCTTTTAATTCATTCAACAGCTAATAATTTTTCTCAAGTCTTACAACTTTTATTTCCGTAAAACTTATTGGTAGATTGCAGCCTTTCCCTTTTGGTTAAACAAAACACTCATACAATATTCATAAGTTGTCTCAAATTGTATCAATTTATTAAACATTTCAAAACTTGAGAATAATCAAGAGCACCAACACGACAAGCAAAACGATCCAATCTCGTTTAATTTTAAATCTCATAATCAAGAGCTTCTAGTTCTGTTTCGCTAGCATGAATCAATTTAATCAAATTGCAACTTTTACATTCTCCTGGGAGATTGACCAGGATCCGTCAAAGCTCAACCAGAACTATATAATCTTTTTCTGCTTATCTCATATCTTAGAACAGAAGAACTCTGATCTTTTTTCTTGATTATCTGCTTATCCTGGTTTTCAAGTCACAAGAACTCATTCTTAGTGGTTTGTTATGCTACAAGCATACATATATTTTCCAATTTATTTGGATAAGAACTTCAACAGTTGTAAGTCAATTGATTCTAATTCATGATATGCATCCGAACACCTATATAACACAATCCATATGAAAGTATGGATCAAATTCCAACACAAAGCAAATATTTAATATAATCGAACTTAAGGTAAATTACAGGAATGCACCAAGCAAGAATGGTGCTCAAACAACAGGATACTGATTACCTTGAAAGATGATGACCAGCAAAAACAGCAGGGTCACCAGGCATGCAAATACATTACTGGCCCAAGATGATGCCTTGTCCTTTCTCATTTTCTTCAACCTCCTTCGTTCCATCCTCTTACGTTTCAGGTTGAGCACGTTTAATTCTTTCATCAACTTCATGTCGCATGCGTTCAACGATGGCCCTTTGGGGGGACGTGGAGGCTTACATGGATTTCCATGATTGTGCTTCTTAGACTTGGGCTTCTCCTCATTATTTACAGAACCCATCCTCTCATCTTCTCGAAACTTCTCCAGCTGCTCCTTGTTCTCGGCTCTAATCTCGTCCGAACTCGTCAATTTTTCATACGAACCCGATGAACAATCTCCATCACTCTTGTAACTGCATTGTGACTCTGAATTCATAAACCCACTCCTTATCCAGCCCATTACGTTTCTCGAGGTTTTACAACTCGGGCTTCGGCTCGTGCTATTATTGTCATCTCCGCTGGTTGTCCCCCCGCTCTCCAAGTCGATGACTAAATCTAGATCATCCCCAGTAGTATGTACATGATCCATGTTTCCAAAAGAAAAGAGAGAAAGAAAACTCTATGGAGCTGAATAGCATTCAACAGCTAATAGATAGGAAATCTTAAGCGCAAAAACTCGGGCAGCATGTGCATCTTCTCGGATTACATATCGAATCTCAACATAGAATCATCAATTCAATCTCGGCATTCGAAATCCCAGTCTTCACAAATTGAGGACGAGGTAATTGGTTCAAGCTGCGTACACAGTAAAATTACAAGTTGGGTTCCTTAAACAAAAAAGTAAACTCCATAACCCAAATCACAAGAATATGCAAGATTTTATCATGGAAAATAAAGGGTTTGAGCCAATACGCAGCTTCTAACCATACATTTACGAAAAACGAATTTAGAAATCTATCCCAAAATTTTCTAGGTAAAAAAATCGCAGCGGCAAACTAGCATAAGATAAAAAGCCAAAACTTTGATTCTTCACATACCTTTGAATTATGACGCCAAGAAACCGATTGAAATTTAATTTAATCTCTTCTTGTTTCACAGTTCTTCCGGGTTTGATTTGGTGAGAATGGTGTGTTTTACATTTTATTCAACTCTTGTTTATTCTGTATAATAATATATAGCGAAAAAGGCCAAAAGGGAAAGGGAGGTGGCTTGTTTGGGGTGAGTTGGGGGGGTTTGTTTGGACAAGTTTTACGAGGAAATTTCACATTTCTAAGAAAAAAAATAATAGAGGCCCTGAATTTGAGTTCAAATGACTTAATGGAAAAAGATGTTGGAGGGACAAAAAAAAAAAAAAGTCTCCAAACTTTGTACAGTTCTCCAAACTCATAAAACCGCACCCTTCGACCAGAAAACCGAACCGCACCGAAATATTTGCGGTTTTCCAAAACCCAAACCGCACCGATAACCGAACGCTTCAAGAACAACACCGAATAGCTCGGTTCGGTGAGATTTTTCCATTTCGGCTCGGTTTTGCTCACCCATACTCATGGACGAGATACATAATTTGGAACATGAAATCTAGACGTTATCTTCTCGTGAAGAGAGTTTTTGGAAACAATGCAAGTGGATTGGCTAAAGGAGGGCAATTGAAATACAATTTTTTTTTTTTTTTCTTAACAGAGAAAAAACAAGGTTCCAAGATGACCAGAGGGACTGGATTACCAAGGCGGATGATATTGTTCGCCATGTGTCAGCTTTCTTCAATAATCATTTCTTTAGCAACCAGTCGACCGGTGAACTTATCTATACTGTGTGTCTGGTGGCCTATCTCCAGAAGATGCTCTTATGCTCGATGAGCCTTTCACTGAAAACGACATTCATGACGCTTTGACGAGCATTGGTCCATATAAATCTCTGGGAGTTGACGACTTTCACACGATATTTTATCAAAAACAGTGGGGTCTTGTTAAGCAAGATATTAGTTCAGTGTGTCTGAACATCCTCAATGACGACTACTCCCTACAGGGTCTGAAGGTTACTGTTATAATGTTGATTCCAAAGAAGAATAATTATGTTTGAATCTTCGACTATCAGCCTATTAGATAATGCTCCCCTACCCACGGTGGGAACATGTTAATATGCCCACCGCTTATATGGCATGCACACATTGGTAATGTATTTTTTTGAACATATTAACATCACCAATGTGTGCATGCCACATAAACGGTGGGCATATTAACATGTGCTCACCATGGGTAAGTGAGCATTACTCTCAGCCTAGTTTTGTGTTGATAGTCTCAAAAGCAACTGCTTCTCAAATGAACTGGTTTTAGGCCCTCTAATTTCAGCAAACCAAAGCGCTTTTGTACGGAAAAGGCTCATCACAGATAATGCAATTTAGGCTTTTGAACTCCTTCATTCAATGTACAAAAAAGTCAGGGAATTTCTCGTCGGATGGTCATTAAACTTGATATGAGCTAAGCGTATGATCGGGTTACATGGAATTATGTTGAGACACTATTGGTTAAAAAAAGATTTGCCCCTCGCTTTCGAATACTCATTCAAGATTGCATCTTCACGATTCAATTTACTTTCAGTATCAACGACCAAAATGTGGGGCACGTGCAACCTTCTAGGGGAAGATTGCACCAGGATATTATTTATCTCCGCACCTGTTTATTTTTTCCTTATAATGCGGTTAATTAAAAAATTATTTTGTGATAATGATTTAATTATCACAATATATGTAAAGAAGTTTTCTATCTACATTTTCTCCCTTCCCTAATAAATTTCCATTTTTTTTTTCATTTCAACTTTTTTTTTTCTTTTATACTTTTTGTCCTTTGTTTAGTTGAGTTGATCAATTTGCATTGTCAAAGATTTCCTTGAAAGTTGATATCCTTCTTAATTATTTTTCCTTTTCTATATTAATTCGTATGATATTTTACTCTCTATGACTTTTTATAATTTGTTCCCTTTTCTAATATTTGTTCTATTTTTGTTTGACATGATTAATAGTTAAAGAGAGACATCCAAAACCATGTTTTATTATTTTTCACTAATCCATACTTGTGTAGCAATAAAATCCTATCACTCCTCCTTTAAGTGATAATATCATGACTTTTTTTTTTTTTTTTTTTCTATATTTTTCCTAACGGGTTGTTCAATATAATAAGGTATAAAGCAAAATGATTGATATCTTGAATAACAAAAGAACATAAATCAAATATATTATCATTCCCATTATCTTTTTCTAGTAATCCTTATTTCATTATATAATGGACAATTCTTAAACTATACTTTAAATAAATATTAACCCATCTCAATCTTTAAAATAATGGCCTAAACATACAATCAATCCACAATTTTAAATTTCCATACATATAATATTTTGAAAACATAAAAACTAAATAAAAATAAAAGTAAATATCTTTTTATATAGCTTTTATTCTAAAATTGAAAGTTTTCACAAAATCCTATCCATTTAAGCTATATTACTAAATCATATTTTCTAAACCATCAAATTATAATAAAATCAAACATTTTTTTATTTATTTATGTCATATACTAATTTCAAATATTTTTGTAAAAAATATGATGGGAAAATATTAAAATTGAAAAAAATAAACATTGTGCCAATCATACAGAAAACAACAGTTTTATTATTAGCTCAAATACCATTGGATACACAAAAACTCCATGAGTGAATGAAATTTCACTTACTACATAATAATCAAATGAAAGAATAAATATTACCATCTATACTTTTGCATGCCATTGAGATATATGCCATCGGCTTTTGCTTCCCAATTGCAATGTCTATGGGGACATTTATCGCGATTCGAGTTATTCTTAAAGACATCGAAAGCGAGGTCTTTGCCGTTCCACCAGAGATGGCAAAAGAAGAGAGTCGTCTCGAAGGCGCAGAATTTGAAGTGAAAATTCTGCCCGTTAGTAAGAGTGTGATAACCGAGATCATTGTCGCCGGACGCACAGTGCAATCTCAACGACGGAGAATCTTGAGGAAGAGAATCAGTAACCGTAACTGTAACTGGCCTATCAAGAAAACACGCTCGAGCACCGACACATGAAAGTAGGAACAAGATTAGCAAGTTCTTGCTCAAAATGTAATTCATTTTTATTATAGTTATTTTTGTGTTTTTATATATTTTGTATGACTAATCAATTTGACACACATATATATATATATATAGTTTTCATTGCCGAATCAAGATGACATAAAAGAAATTTACTACAAAAATATGATTTCAAATATTCATGGTAGGTTCAAGCAATTTGATTTGTATTATTGAGATTATTGTGTCAAATCTATAAAAAAATCTATATTTAATTAATAATATATAAAAAAAGGTAAACATTTTATCTTAGTTAAGAAAGAAAATTCCGCCTAAAATTTTCGTTTTAACCAAAAAATAAATATTTTTTAAAGTAAATTTGAATTCTACGTCCCGTGAAATAAGATTATATTAATTTACTAAAGAGGAAAACTAATTTTATCTTTTAATTTTAAGAAATTGTAGCAAATTAAAGTCATTCCTAAAATTATGCCAAATCTAGCTTTCAAACTATGCGTACATCTTCCAATAGTTAAGGAATAGTAATACGCTTGATTATTTTAGATCTACAATCACGTAACATGATGATC